AACTAAAAACATGACCAAAAAAATTGCGTGATATCATATTTGTTCAAACTTTTATTTAAAACTTTATCTTACTTACGTTTACCCCACTTAGAACATAGTCATAAGAGTAATATAGTAGTAATAATCATAAAAAGATAGCATATTATGGTAGAGAGTGGAGAAAGAGTCGCTGCAACAGCCAGTCTGACCAGCCGCATTAAATGTTTAACATTACAAAAAAAAGTTCAAAGTTTAAAAACCCTCCTGGAGCCGACTTTATGAACTAAGTTTTTTATTTTATTTATTCTTATTATTATCAAACAAAATTATATGCATTTAAACATTTTGCTAAGTAATTCGAACACACCATCAGTCAGTACAAATTTTAATTAATTAATTTGAAAACTGAGAAGTATTTTCCTGATGTTTTAGTTTTAGGTGTGATTACAGAGGTTAATGTCCTTCCCAAAACAAAAAATATTTCTGCGTTACTATTTATCTTTTTTAAATCGTTACAATTTAAAAATGATTGAACATAGTTAATCTTCTTCTTTTTTCTCTCTATTATTTGTCACTCCACTCATCCATTTAAGCATTCTCATCTCTTCTACACATATTCTCTACTCTTCATTCTTGTCAACCGCCCAACACTGAACCATACACCATAGCTGATCTCTCTACAGTCTTAATCGAACATAGTTAATATGGAAAAAAACTTAATATTACAAATTTGGGAGATGAAATTTTAAGTCTTGGTTATTATTTACCAGGTGTATAACTTAATAATGGGGATATTTTTCAACAGATGGCGTTACACTCATATAATAGAGCACGTGGCTTGATATGTGAGCAATTTTTTTTATCGACATAACCCTTTAAAGTAGTGAAAGTCGTACTTTTTGAAAGCGCTTATATCATTTTTTTTTACGTGTTAAAATGTCGGAATTTGTTCCAAAAAAAGAGCATTTGCGGGAGGTTTTGTTACATTACTTTCTCTTAAAAAAAAGTGCTGCTGAAAGTTACCGTATACTTCAAGGAGTTTACGGAGAGCATTGTTTATCCCAGAATACTTGTGAGCGCTGGTTTAATCGCTTCAAAGTTGGCGATTTCGATGTGTCAGACAAAGAGCGTCCGGGGCAGCCGAAAAAATTCCAAGATAGTGAATTGGAAGAGTTACTTGATGAAGATCCCTGCCAAACGCAGAAACAACTTGCGGAGAGACTTCAAGTAACTCAAGCAGCAATTTCCAAACGCTTAAATATGATGGGAAAGATTTTAAAAGCGGGAAAATGGGTTCCACATAACCTCAACGAACGGCAAATGGAAAATAGGAAAGTTACAAGTTTATCGCTGCTTTCTCGGTACGAAAAAAAATCTTTTTTGCACCGCATAGTCACTGGAGACGAGAAATGGATTTATTTCGAAAATCCGAAACGAAAAAAGTCGTATGTTAATCCAGGACAACCCGCCCAGTCGATTCCAAGACCAAATCGGTACGGAAAAAAAACTATGCTTTGTATTTGGTGGGACCAAAAGGGTATTTTATACCACGAACTTCTAAAGCCTGGTGAAACTGTAAATGGAGAACGGTATAAACAACAACTTATCAATTTAAATCAATCACTGATCGATAAACGACCAGAATGGGCTAAGAGACATGACAAAGTTATACTGCTTCACGACAACGCTCCATCTCACACCACAAAACTGGTCAAGGACACCACAAAAAAACTTGGATGGGAAGTTCTTGCGCACCCGCCATACTCACCAGACTTAGCCCCGTCTGATTATCATTTATTTTCTTCGATGGCACACGCTTTGGCTGAACAGCACTTTAAATCTTACGAAGACGTAGAAAAATGGCTATCGGAATGGTTTGCTGCGAAAGAAGAAAAATTTTTTTGGAAAGGTATCCATAACTTGCCATTAAGATGGGAGAAATGTATAAATTCAAATGGTAATTATTTTGAATAAACGCTTTTTGTATTTCTATTTAAAATGCTGTGTTTTTATTTTTTTAAAAATCCCCATTATTAAGTTATACACCTGGTATGAGTAAGTAAATTTAACGGAGTACTATTTTAAATAAGTTAAATAAGAAAAAAAATTATAAGTATCTAAAAGTTCATAATAACATCTTGATAGAGTAATGAAACTCTAAAAGCTTTGATGTAGGGGACACAGCTCTCATCATGATTTTTATTATGGTTTTTTATCTCCTCATATAGTAAAATCTTTGGACCGCCATTGTATTTCACAATTGTGGCTCGTGGTTGCTGGTGGTGAGGGTGCGACTTTAAATATAATACCGCTAGTTATAAAAAAATTGTCAAATTAAATATAATAAAATAAAACACAATACACATATTATTATTTTAAAAGGTCGCAGTAGAAAATAGAAATGAAAATATTAATAATAGCGATTATATTATTAAGGCCAACGATAACGACGAGCGTACACGTAGTGTATTCTAAAAATAAATTACCATAATAGCAATATACTAATATTTTCTGTATGGACGACGCTGTTGGTCGTCCAAACACTGCTCGTGTGTATACATGTGTACCGCATATACTGAGGGAAACAACTTTAATGTTCGCACACGATAAATGTTTATAACTATTTTACTATTTAAAAATTTGCATTTTTAATAGAAATATAGAATTAAGAATATAAAATTAATTTTCTTTTTTTAATTAATTTTAGTAGGGGTGCGATCGTCTCGTCATCCAAGCCACGAGCCGCCACTGGTATTTTATAGTTTAATAATACTACAACAAACTAAAGTCGCGATAATGATTACGCTTTGATTGACTATATATTGATAAGGGGTGCCATGTAAAACTGACACGGAATAAATGTAAGCAACACAATATTTTAAGATTATATAAGTTTATTCCTATTAACAAACAAGTATAACACACAAATGGGAAAATCAAGAATAATGCACGAGATCGAATTAATTAAACAGTTTCCAATAGCGTAGTTGGTTGACGACGTGCCGAAAAAATAAGCGATATTCGAACGATGCATGCCATGTGGTGTCACGGAGATGACTTTAACGTTTATTCAAAGACTATATGTGGTCTGTATAGGTGTTCAGTAAGTAAGGAAACATGTTTCTATTGTTCTCGTTGTTTTTAACAATTGACCTGTTAACTGAACAATCGGCATAGCAAATATACTACTAACTTCATATAGTCAGTGATATATTTGCGGCGGTTCGTTGTAGGCCGTGCGGCATTTGCTGGACTTACAAATTGTTAGTACGTGACCGTATGACACGCGTTGTTTGTCACACAAGTTATTTGATTCCAAGTAGTAGGACGGCGGCTGACAAAGATGGCGTGGGATCGTGTCAATATATTATACAGAGTGATTTAGGATAATATACTTAAAGATTTTCTTGGAAACTATTGAACATTTTTTATTTTCGCAAAGGTATATTATTTTATTTAAAAATTTCTATAATATGTAGTTTAATTATTTTTCTTCCATCTCTCATGAATAAAATACCTAAACTTTAATTTTCTTTAATGGAAACCATTATTTTTAGTTTGACGATATCATAGAGATAAATTGCTAACAATTTTGTTCTTATCATTATTTTTACCCGATAAACCGTTCTTCTGTTATTAGTTGTTTAAAAATAGTGAGTTTTCGCCAATTTTCTATTGATAATTTGTTGTTTAGCATACAGTAGTCGTTAATTGTCAAAGGTACTAATCAATAACATCCATCGCCTAGGAATGATGTCTTGAATAATTCATGTCTATTAATAGACGCATTTTATTGTATTCAACGCAAGATTTTACTATTGTACATTGTTGAGCGACCGGCGTGGAAAATTTTCTTGTTAACGATCATAAAAATAATTTATAGCCTTTGAAAGATTATTGTTGCCTCCAATCTTGTGAAAACAAAATAATTCACCGTTAATTATTAACGGTGAATTTGTATTTGAAATCCAAATAATATAAAAAAAACCTGTTGATTAGATAACAAAAAAATTTAGAACAAAATCATTTGAAAATTTTTTTTCTACCAACAAATAAAAATATAAGGATTCTCCAAATAAAAAAGATTAAAGTTTAAGTTTTTTATCCTTGTAGGGACGAATTACTCTGTATATTATTTAATTAGTTATAATTAGAGTACACACACACAAAAAGAGCCAAATATAATGCAAGTACGAGAAAAAAAAACAATAAAATATGTACATAATAAATTTTTCTTCTTATAAAAATTTTTTATTATTTTGCTATAAAACTTAGTTAATTAATAAAGTATAGTCTATAATGTTGACTCCGCGATTTGTATTGATCGATCGGCAACGATTGTGCGTCAGTTTGCAGATATCGAAGTTCGTTCAATACCGTTGAGCTATACAGGTTTCCATCTTATACAAGAATTATGTTTCTGTTAACTATTATTTTTCCTCTTAATTATACTTTAGACTAAATTTAAAAATAAAGAATAAAAGAAACAATTAGCTACAATTACATAGTTTATTTCTAAGTGAACAACTTTTGATAATTAATTCTTAGCATTAATCAATCATAACAAAACTTTAGATGAGACTATTCTCGGGTCTATCACAGCCAAAGTTCGACAACTGATTACTGACGTCGGCGAGTGCTAGCTGAAAACCACTTTTTTCTAGATGACCATACTGGTCACCGTAAAAAAAGAAAATCTTAATCTTTTTATTTGAGAGAACATTAAATAATATTCAAAAAGACTAGATTATAGACTTAAAATCATTAGCGTAATTATTGTGAAAGCTGTAGTCTCTATAATTAAAGATAATTTTTTGGGAAGAAGGGTGAAGAAATGTGGTAAAGCTTTTTATTAATTAACTATTAATATTATGAAATAATTCCCCCCATAGATAGATTTTTTAAGTTACGCTTATGTTTATGGCTTTCTAGGACTTTTTCATAATCTCAATAAAAAAAATATGTCTTCTGTGTTGAAATGTTTGTGGATGTATCCATGTTTACAGTAATGAAGTGACGTTTTGAACTTATTGCAAAGTCCATCTTCAGAGCGATAGTTATAGGCTCGTACTTATAACTATACTGTCAGCTTAGCTTGTTTACGGTATGTTTTATCGATGTTGTTTTTCTGATGTTATTTTTGTCGTATTGTTTTTGACAATTGTCAGTTTGTTGTTTACAGTCGGTTTTTGTTGTTGTTCTTGGCATTTAGCTCTTCCTTTTCCATACTGGCATTTTTCTGTGATGTTAATTGTAGTTTTTTCACAAAAAACAAAAACCGGATGTAAACAACAAACAAAAGTCTTAGAATACCTTAAACATTAGGGTAACTTGAAAATTTTGTTTATGGAGATTATTTCATAATATTTCCCATAATTACTTCAGTCTGTCTACGAAAATATCTTAATGTTACTAAATTATGTATTTTTTCATTATACACAACCGCTAAAATAATTGATTAATACAATAATAATAATATTTTGAATTTAAGGAACCTATCCTAGGTTAGCGTGATTATGTGCCTGAGAACTATTGAATACAAGTATTAATTCTCTAAATTAAATCATTAACTTTTAAATTTCTAATGATGTGTTAATAGTAACTATTCATTTTTCGTTTATTATTAAAATTTAAAATTATTATTAAAATTTGTATTAAAATTCTAAGTCATTTTGAGTACATTAAAGATGAATAAATATTCGTATTTGTTTTTTTTTATATAAGTTGAGTTTACCGGACACCTTTTATCTATTAATTTTTTTAAAATTAGGTTAGTTTTTCGTGCTGATGAATAATATGTAAACAATTTCGAGAAGAAACAAGTGATTTAAAAGTTTTAAGAATTGATAAGATAGTTTTTTTGTGACAATACAACTAACAAAAACCTTTATTATCCTATATCAGGTATTACGCTATTATAACTGTAGTAATATGCTCAATGCTTTGCATGACGCATCTTACAATTATTAATGAAAAATGTATAATCTGTATTTTAAATAACTTGTAAACAATCAAATAATTTATCTGTCATAACAAATATGATGTTCAACACAATTTCTTATTATTTATATATATATGTCAATTTATCAATTGTTAAATATGTTATCTGAATATAATAATCCTGTAATGCATAATTAATACAATAAACTAAAAAGATTACTAAAAGCGCTGACAACAATATCCCTGGATTGGGGGTAATATCATTTTACTATAAAAAACACTGAAATCCTTTCAGTCCGAGAGAGTCAGGGAAAGACTCCAGAGAGACGAAAAAAAAGAAGAAGTGACAGCGACCAAAAGAGTTCGTTTTCTTCGAATT